ATATACTGTATAAAGCCATTTTTGCATATAGTGTAGTAGATGGCTGCATCACCATATCAGTTTCCCATTAATTTATGGCGCCTTCCAACTTGATCCATAGTAGCTTTGCTTCACCAGGTTCAAAAGTCCAATCATAGCCAATGGTTATGTCTTGTGAATCCACACAACCTGCACTGTTGGTTAAGGGTACCGGAATGACTACTTGATCTTCTTGAATACCACCATCTACCGGTTCATACACGTTGTCATCATAGCCATCACCATCGAATGTATCTACCTTGTACTCATTCTCTGAATCATCTGTTCTGAAAGTTAGGGTTTTCTTGACTGGAGCTTGTATAGCTTTGGAAGCACAAATGAAGTCCATACCAATCAATAGTAGCGTAGATGTATTTTTGGTTACATAGAACATATGGTACACCGTGATATTTTTGGCAAACTGTAACTTTAACTTAACTACCCCAGCCAAGATGTCGATCTGTCCACCACCATACATCAATGTTTTGTTGGTAGGGATTATATCCCTTTCTTTTTCTAACGGCTTGACGATGTGTAACGGAATTACCGAGACCACAGCACCACCATCCAACAAGAAGTTACGCTCGGTATGATCAGCGACCAGTACCTTCACTACTTGTAAGCTTGATTTTGGTAGCCATAACCCCGTGGTATCCAAATCAATATAATGTATACCATTGAAACTGTCCTCCTTGTCGATATCCATATCATAGCCAGGATACCCGGTCGTCTCTTTCTTCTTTCCACTTACCGGTTGACCACCCAATTGATGTAAGAATTGGTATCGGAGTTCCGGAGCATAGAATAACAGTTGCGGTAATGGTAACGTGATGGTAGTCTCCCACAGTTTTTTGTTGAGATCCAACTCACGAACATTTTTATTATCATCTAGCATGACTGGAAATTCTCTCTCAACCTTACGAACAAAGGATGGCGGAACCTCACCCTTGGTCTTCGCTATATCATTCGCTTGATGATACCTAACCTTGGCAGCCCTAGCTTTCTCTAAGTTTTGTAGTCCCACCGCACAAAGTTCTTCTGCTCGTTTTCGTTTAGACCCAGTCACTGCATTTACCTCATCCGCTTCCTCATCCGTAGCCAGGTTTACAACATGAATTGGTGGACTATACGTCTCATTAGGAATTTTATTGTTTTGAAGCCCCTCCACGCCTAAACTAATGGGAGGGTTTACTGAAAATCCTGTGCGTCAACATTATTAACTTGCCGTTTCATTATGTCTTGATATGCTGGAAATCCCTTGGGACAATTATCTGTAGGATGATTCGCATTTTCACACTTGGATCAAGGATTTGGACATTCACGAGCAAAGTGACCTGTATCTTCACAATTGAAACATTTGATACCTTTCTTGTAATTGGCAGCATTGGCATAACCTTGATTTGACTCAGGAGCCTTTTCCAATATATCGATACGATCCTTGAACACGGCCATTTTATTTTCAATCAAATCTAACTTGTCCAACTTGTTCAACACACGTTGTTCGAATTCCGTAAGATTATTTGTTTTTTTGTGATTTAAAGTTGATGTTTCATTACTTTGGTAGGTGGGACCATCCGCCGTATTCTGAAACTGCACTCTTCTTGGTACTGTTGAAACATTATTAACTCCGTTGTCGTAACTTATGGATGAACATGAAACCTTTCGGTCTTCGTAAAGACATTGCTCCGCCCATTTTAACAATGTTTCGAAGCCCTCAACTGTTACAGTCGTGGTTCTGGCAGCTTGAGTAAAGGGGTCTTTGAGTTTTTGATAACATACTTTAGCCACTTGAGGGACTAGACCCTTCATAATATCGCGAACTTGTTGCTTCTTGGATCTTTCACCGCACTCTGTACCTGCACGTTGGAATAAGTCTCTCTTTGTTTCCAAGTATTCTAAAGGTGTTTCCTGGCTTGATTATTTACGGTCTTCATATTCTTTGGTGTACGATTCTTACCAATCCTCCGTAATACACTGTTCCTTAAACAAACTTACGAGACCTTCCCGACTATCAGGCTCGAATTTCAATGCTTTAAATGTCTCCTTGTCAGACATCAAGTGGTTCTTAACCCATCTCTCCGCATGACCATTTAGACACATAAAAAATGTTTCTTTCTTGCGTTCATCGGTACGCCAATTATTCCATTTAGCAGCTTTTTGGAAGTCTTCAATGAATTTGAGAGGGTCTTAAGCCCTAGCCGAACCAGAGAAAGTAGGAACCGTTTAATTGTTCTCTTCTTTATCCGGAATAATAATATTTGACATCTTTCGTTTTTCCTTGACTAGACATCACAGTTGCTTTAATTTAACCGGCTTGTGATTATACGCAAAACGTTCAGGGAACTACCTATAATTTATAAAACTGAAGGCGTTTCAGTACTCGTCGTTTGATTTGAAGCCGCCCAGCTACTCCACCAAATGTTGTATAGGGATTTCAATTACCTGAAGGCTTAATAAATCGTTCTTTTGTTACTCTTCCTTGACTATAATCTAACTCCCCAAAGTCTTATGGAAAGTATTAGATATCGCGCGAATTGGGGTTGTAAAAAGGATTTAATTTTATTAGGTTTCAAGTTTTACGACTTTATATTGACGCTGTGGGTGGGTATAAGGATAGGCATGCGAAAGGTGACGTAAAGGGGATATAATCTCAAATTGGTTCCAAAACGTTTGATCGATTGTTCGTTCGTACTTGTTCCTTAACCTCTCTATGTGACTCGTGCTACGATATCACAAAGCAATATAATTAGATATTGTAAGCCAATAGATCTTGAGATTACAGTCGGTTGCGAAATTACCATCGGTCATTTTAACAAACTCTTCTAGAACTACAATAAATAAGCTGTCAGCGTTTACACCTGTACTAGATCTTAATTCCTTTTAACTATCTTTAAATGGCCAAGCAAAAAGTTGGAAAAACCTACAAAACCTCGAAGTTTTCTTCTACGAAAGGATTTGACAGAAACCAACCTGCATTAAGCAGAATTGTTAACCGTTTAAACGATGCAGTTTGAAATACAGGTCCAGTCGTCGAGGTGAGTGTCGACTCTAGTCTTTTAACGTTTTGAAAATATGGAATAGTTCGTAGTTATTTGAGTGGACATGCCTTCTTTTTCTTTTTCTTTTTTTGTTAAAATTGTAGAATGTCAATGTCACAATTCAGGAACAAAGCGAAGATCTAGTCCAAGAACCAGTCAATGTTATGAATGAGGATTTGTTTGAGGATTTATTTGAGGATTTAGTTGAGGATCTAGTTGAAGATCCAGTGGAAAATTCAATTGAGGAGGAAATGAATGATGTATTACCCGAAAATAGTGTTCTGACCGAGTATTTTGAGAACCTTCAAATTCGTTTAACAAACGAAGGATATCCTTCTGAGTACAACAACGGTACGTTTTGGATAGAGCCCATGATGACTTTTTTCGCTCTTTAATCGAAAAAAGAAATCAACTATCTATATACACCACGAGTACTTCTTTTGATTCCCCATCTTTTACTCAGCAAAGGTTTGAGACGACTGAGATGTACCGAAAACAATTGCAACAAGAAGCTTGAGACAAAAGGCTACAATAAAAAGCCTCACGCTCGAAGAATTGTGGATATGTTCAGTTATTATAGGGAAGAGTTTTTATATGTCTCATGCATGCTAACCTCGTTCCCTACTTTTTTGGCACGCTACTTGTTTTTACTTTATGTCAATGCGATATAGATGCTGTGTCTCAAAATGTGGTGCTTCATATAATGCAGATGATCCAGAAATCATTGAACAGCTTTCTTTTGAATTGCAAGTCGAGTTTCCCGCCGTTATTTCTCACAGAGGAGGTATATCAAAAGTAATCGCCGATTTTCTGAGACCCTGTATTCGAAACTCTGTTGGTCCAAAGAGATTTCAAAAGATACTTTGTGAGCTTCACGTACTTCATCATGATAGAATTGAACTTCAATATTTGTTTTCTGAGTACAAGAAAGGAAACGGAATCTCTCAATATTTTGCGACTTTACCCCCCGAGAGATTTTCTTCATTCAATGATCAAAAAAAATATGCTGGATTTGTACCCACTAGAACCGACATTTGAACATTATATACAGTAATCATTGAGGTTCTTCAACCCAAGATGGACAAGCATATGATGCGTTTGGATGGAAAGATTTTGAAAGGAGATCATTCGTTTAAGTTTCCAAAACATATGGCTAAAATTTATGATACAAGTGTTTTCACAGGCTTATACATCATGACCAACAAATATGAGGAAATTGTGCACCAAGTTTTGGTTCCATCAAAAGCATTGTCCTATATGAAGCATTCTTTTCCGAAAATGAGAAAAGCTTATACTGACTATGGACATGAAATGACAATCGCTTTTTATACCGATAACGTCAAAGGTGACCAAACATTTGTTGAAGGAATATTCGAATCGTTGAAAGAAGGTGTTAAGCCGACTTCGGTTGATGAAATAAATAGTACTAGATCCAATAGCTGTAATTACCTTCAGTTGCCTGATGCTGTTGAAGTCTCCTACATTTGTCGCGAGTTTGATTTAATGGAAGGCTCCGTAAAGCATTTACATGAAGAAATTGAATCATCAGTAAGAATCAATGGTGAAACAGCTATAGGCCTTGATTGTGAATGGAATATAAGCTATTTTCAAGGAGTAGATATTTGCAAAGTAGATGTTGTCCAATTAGCGTTTAAGAGAAAGGTATATGTGTTACACATTGACAGATGTTGGACCTCTTTGCCTACTTCTTTGGTGAGTATCCTGAAAAATGAATCTGTAAAAAAGGTTGGTCGTCAAGTTGGTAATGATTTAAGCAGAATTTCGAGAAGCTTAAACGCTAGCTGCAGAGGAAAGATTGAGTTGGGCTCGTTTTTTTCGTTAAGGAAAATCATTCCCAACAGTATTTTGTCTTTGTCAGGTATTGATCTCCGTGTGCTGGGACAAGGGATAAAAAATGATGAGCGGGAAAGTCACTAGTCCAGTATGGCACTCACATCTGAACAGATTGTCTATGCTGCCTTGGATGCTTGGGTTAGTCTTCCCATTTTTGAAGCTGTTAAAAAATTTCCAGAGGCTGGATCTCGTATAATTTCGAAAAATTGTGTTCCAGGAGTATTTGTTGATTTGAAACCGCGAGGATTGAAGCATGTCATTGCTTCGGGTCGAATTGAGCAGCCTGAAAACAGTAGCAGTGCAGAGAAAAACTCTTGTCGTCTAAGAGGTCTAAAAGTAAATTTGCCAGGATACATGGTTAAGCAAAATAATGGGATTGCCTTACCAGCAATTGAAAGAAGAGATGTTCTGACTTTAGTGCTCTTACGTTCGTTTACGGAACCTGAATTTCTGATTACAGTGTTTAAAGCTAATCTTATGACTGCAACAAATTCCGAGGTTCACAACACCCATTCCGAACGCTAAAATTCTAATGCAATCCAAGGCGTATTAAGGTTTCAATCACGTATTAATTCTTCAACAACTGCATGAAACTCGGCTACTAGTGAGGCGGTATTAA